ATGTGGTTCCACTGCTCGCATATGTCGGTTTGTTGAAGAGTGCTCTCTGAGAGCAGGTGTGAGAGTCGAGTAGTGAAAGCGCTGGCTGTCTGTTGTGATTGCAGCTTTTCGACGTTAAGCTTTCCTTGCATATTTGGGCGCACATTTTTTGCTGCACAGAGGCGGGTACGTATCTTGGCTGCAAGAAGATAGTGGTCCGAGTCGATGTTTGGGCCTCGGAGTGTGCGTACGTCTAAAACACTGGAAGCGTGCCTTCCGTCTATCACAACATGATCGATTTGGTTTCTCGTTTTTCGATCCGGAGACAGCCACGTAGCTTGATGGATCTTTTTATGCTTGAACCTAGTACTGCATACTACCATGTTTCGGGGCCCGGCGAAGTCGATCAGCCTCAATCCGTTGTCGGACGTTTCGTCGGGGAGGCTGAATTTTCCGACGGTGGTTCCAAAGATCCCTTCCTTGCCCACCCTGGCATTGAAGTCGCCAAGCACGATTTTGATATCATGACGGGGGCAGCGCTCGTATGTGCGCTCCAAGCGCTCATATGTGCGCTCCAAGCGCTCATAAAAGAGATGCTTGGATGCCTCATCCTTCTCTTCCGTCGGGGCATGGGCGCAGATGAGCGAGATGTTGAAGAATCTCGCTTTGACGCGGATTGTGGCTAGACGCTCGTCCACCGGGGTCAACAACAGTACTCGGCGACGGAGTCTCTCTCCCACCACAAATCCAACACCGAATTTGCGCTCCTTTACATGGCAGCTGTAGTAGACGTCGCAAGGCCCCAGACATTGCTTGCCTTGCCCCGTCCAACACATTTCTTGGATGGCGGCGATGTCAGCTTTTGTCCTTACGAGGACATCAACCCACCGGGCAGAGGCACCTTCCCCATTAAGGGTCCGGACATTCCAGGTGCATGCCCTCAAATCGTAGTCCTTTAAACGTTTGCCGTGGTCGTCATCATAAGGGGGGGGGTCTCATCCGAGGCTTTGCCTTGCTTCTTCACTGGAAGTGGTTTTTACGTGGCGGGTCCCAAGCCCAGCGCACAACCCATTGCTGGGACGGGGGTGGTTTCGCAACCAAATACACGTTTATATAGCGAGCCGCTTGCTCCAAGCAGACACCCGCTTGCAGCCGCACCTACTGGTGAACAGACGCTGCAGACTTCAGTGAGCCCTTAAACCGAATAAGTCGGAGTGGCCCCACCGAAGCTCCCTCTCTTTCTGCCGTGACCCAAGGCTCCACTCGGATTGGTTACCGCATCTCGCACATGGGTTGCTCACGTTGCCCAGAGTGCGCGAACGAGGACGCAAGAGTCGGGATTGAGTATAGCCATGCAACTGTTACTGCATACCCAGCGCAACGACTATACCCCATTGCACTCCAACATTAAATACCCGGCGCAAATATTAAGTATATGTTTTTCACCTTTCCGAAAGCTACCGCTACATGGTAAGCCGGGCTGTATCAATTTTGAGTAAATTAGCTTCCTTAAATTCTGAAATATTGAAGTTTCAAGCATTCCCGAAATTTACCGTTATATGAAAAGCTCCGTAATTTTAGTCCGATTTCAATAATTTTCAACGGTTTGCTTTTATGTGGCAAGCACAATAACCATACCGAGTTTGGTACAAATTGGTATAACGGTTACTGAGATACATATATATGATCATAAGGGAGCGGTGCCACGCCCATTTTCCAAAATTTTATCATAAACGTCTTTCTTGGTAAAGGGTTGTTGCAAGCATAAATTTTGAATAAATTAGCTTTAATATTTACTGATTTATCGAAGATTTTGTATTTCTCTAAATTACCGTTATATGGGATGTGAGCGTGGTTATTGTCCGATTTTAAAAATTTTCAGCCATTTGGTATGCTGTACCAAGGCCAACAACTGTGCCAAGTTTGGAAGAAATCGGTGCTGCGGTTGCCAAGATATACACATGTAACCATAAGTGGGCGTGGCTACGCCCATTTTTCAAAAATTTATAATATTCTTATTTTTCGTCTAAAAATCATTGTAAATGTCAATTTTGAGTGAATAATCTTCAGTAGTTACTAAAATATCGCAGTTTTCATATTTCTGAAAATTACCGTTATATGGAAGGTAGGCGTGGTTATTGTCCGATTTTGCCCATTTTCAATACCATCACACAGACGGACGGACGGACGGACAGACAGACGGTCACCGCTTAATCGATTTCTATTTTCATTCTGATCATTTATGTATACATTTGTCTATATCTATCTCGATTCGTTTTGCCTGTTACAAACAACCGTTATGTGAACAAAGTTATAATACCCTTGTGCACAAGTGCGCTCGGGTATAAAAATAAGGAGCAGAAAGCAATTCGGAAGCCCTTCTCTAGAATATAGAGGGCCTTCACATCTGCATGATTTCCTTAATTATTAGTCCGTGATTTTCGCAAGGTAAACTGGCACTCTCTTGCCCCTGTTACCCATACAAAACCGGCTTTAGGCCGGCTGAGCAGTGCAGTGTGTGGAAGTTCGTTTTCTAGTCACACAAATTCTTCTTTTTCATTCATTTCTCTTGTCCACTGAAGCCACTTGGTCTTCCCATCGCAGTGGGAGCCTTTGCTATCACGAGCGGGTTCCGAGTTGAATACTTCCAGAGCTGGAGCATCGGAGTCCATTCAAACGTAATGGCCAAGCCAACGGAGCTGCTGTATTTTAATTCGCTGCACTATGTCCATGTCGTTGTAAAGCTCATACAGCTAATCGTTCTATAATCTGCGGTACTCGCGATCGCCAGCGCGTGGAGGCCCGTTAATCTTTTACAAAATCTTTCTCTCGAATACTCCAAGAGCCACCTCATCGGATGTTATTGTCCATACCAAATTCCTTTTGGTGCTGTCGAAAGCGGCTTTGAAGTCGCTGTAATTGGCGCGGAGTACGGTGTCACATTTCTTGTGGATTGAGCAGAGCACACTTGAATTCCAGTCGTCGGACATGCGTTCATCTGACCATATTCTTCAATTCTTCTTGATGCATATACCTTATCACCGACCTTCCGTAAGTCGCCTAACTCTCTGGTAAATTTTTTTCTGGCGTTTTTTCAGTCGGCCAGCATTTCAAGCTCTTCGCACTATCGTTTTTCGGTCTCTCTCTTCTTATTGCGGCAAATACGTCTCGCTTCCCTCTTCAGGCCGCTATATCGGTCACTCATAGCTTCGTGACATTCCTAATCGTACCAGTTGTTCTTTCGGGCTCGCTGATATCCGACTACTTCTTCGGCGGCGGTACCTAATAAGTGGGAAATGTGTTTCCACTGCTCGCATATGTCGGCTTGTTGAACAGTGCTCTCTGAGATTAGGTGTGAGAGTCGAGTAGCGAATGCATTGGCTGGCTGTTGTGACTGCTGCTTTTCGACGTTGAGCTTTCCTTGCATTGTTGGGCGTACATTTTTTACTGATAGCGCCCCGAGACGATGTTTGGGCCTTGGAGTGTACGTACGTCTAAGACAATGGAAGCGTGCGTTCCGTTTATCACAACATGTTCGATTTGGTTTCTCGTTTTTTCGATATGGAAACAGCCATGTGGATTTGCGCATCTTTTTATGCTGAAACCAAGTACTACATATTACCATGTTTGGGGTCCCGGCGAAGTCGATTAGCCTCAGGCCGTTGTCGGACGTTTCGTCGTGGTTCCAAAAATTCCTTCCTTGCCCGTCCTGGCATTGAAGTCGTAAAGCACGATTTTGTTATAATGGCGGGGGCAGCGCTCATGTGCGCTCCAAGCGCTCATAGAAGAGATCCTTTAATGCCTCGTCCTACTCCTCCGTCGGGGGGTGGGCAAAAATGAGTGAGTTGTTGTAGAATCTTGCTTTGATGCGCATTGTGACGAGTCGTTCGTCCACCGGAAAACTCGCGGCACTTTATTATTCTCATTGTAGTTTACAAGTCAGAGAAGTTTCGGTCTAACTAATGAACTTTTCGGATAATTATTCTTTCAGCGAGATTACACAACTACTCTTAGCTTTAAAGCATTAACGTATTTTACATTTGAAGTAAGAAAGAAAGGAAACCGGAATGGCGCTCCAAACTTCCTCTAATCCACCAGATTAAAATTTGTATTTTCGTCTCTATTTTTTATTGAATACATATCTACAGCCACGAGTCTGTAGATAGTAGAGTACATATACTAGTAACTACATACATAAAGTTGTATATGCATGAATGCATTTAGCTGCACATTCATACATACATACATGTGTATGTACATATGCATATAAATGCTAACAGAAAACTAACTTCTTGCTATAAAATTCCTTGATAATTTGCCAACGGCGTATAACGATGGCAAGTCCTTGAATGACAGCAAACTGAGCACTTTTGTATTGTTTTGCAATAGAACGCAATTTGTTACTATACACACACATATACAAACTAATTCATACACACATACACAAGCAACCACATAAAAGCCATAGAACCGACCATAGCGTCACTCAAAGTGCTACGGTTTTGACAAATTGATGTCGCAGACGACGAACATTTGCATTAAGAAGTTAACAAAAGTTGGCAAAGCGTGCAACCAAACCCGGGCAGATGAAGGAGGTATAGAAGTAGAAGCAGCAGCAGCAGCAGCAGAATCAGTAGAAGCTATAGAAGAGAGAGACATAGAAAAAGAAGATGAAGACGGAGATGGGAAAGAAGCAGGAGCAGCAGCGGCAGAATAAGAAGAAGTGGAAGCAGAAGCAGAAACAGAATAAGTGGAATACTCACTAAGTACTAATACAGTATAAAATGCAACGAGTACCAGAACCACCACCACCCTATAAAATGCGAACGATCCACTGTACTGGAATGCATTCTATGCACGACTCAGCGCACCAACGTTGATTAAAAGCGGCAAACTCAAGAATTCGCAACGACTAAGAAGTAGAAACGACGAAAGGAAGGAAGGAAGGAAGAAAGGAAGCAAACACAAAAAGTAAAGAAAAAAGACACAAATAAAAGAATACCCATCAAATATTACTCAGGATGTCGAAACTCGTAAGTGGTTGATTGAATTGAGGAAAGGACTTTTTATGCGCGCATAAACACACACACACACACACACACACATGCACACGCTTCAATAAACTAGTTATGTATTGAATTCTTTATATTCTTGCAGTTGTTGTTGCTATTGCTGATTGCTGTATGCGCTGCTTGCGTAACAGCTAAAGCTGAACCCCAACAAGTCGCTTTAGCTGCGCCTGTTGCTGTCGCTACTGCTCCTGTGGTGGCCGCCCCATACGTAGCAGCTGCATACACTACTTCTCCATATGCTGCAGCTGCACCCGCGCCTGCCCCTGTAGCCACCACCACCGCTTTTGGCATACCACCATACGCTGCATACTCATCACCCTACGCTGCGTATACGTCACCTTATGTCGCCTCACCTTATGCCGCCTCACCTTATGCCGCCGCATACACAGCTGCCGCCGCATACACTAATGCTCCATTGAACTCCGCGGTCGCCAGTCAACGTGTCGATGTACAGAGCAATTACTATGCAACACCAGTGATAGCTGCTGCCTCACCTGCCAAGTTGGTCGCACCCAGCTCAGCTGCTTTTGTTGCGCCTGCTGCGCCTGCTGCACCTGCTGCTGCATACTCGGCACCCATAGCTGCCGCTTACACAGTTGCTGCTGCTCCTGCTCCCATACCCGCTGCTGTAGCTGCTTATACAGCGCCTTCCGTTGCATCCATAGCTCCAGCTCGCTATGTTGCCCCTGCGGCAGTTGCTTCAACAGCTCGTTATGTGGCCCCTGCCGCATCGGTAATAGCTCCTGCTCCAATTGCTGCAGCACCAGCTAAGCTCGTTGCACCAAGTGTTGTTGTCTAAGCTGTGCTCACATGCTCATACGGGTATGTACATATGTATATGAATGTGTAGCTCCTAAACCGATAAATACATATTTGGCAAATACGTGAATGTTCTTCAGTAGCGCTTTAAGTTGACACCTGTTAACCTCCCCAGCCATTTTTGCTTTTGTCTTTTACTTCTATGTACGAGTACGTTCGAGTATTTCATTTATTAATATTGCAAGTACCTGAATAAAAGGAGAAGAAATATGCTCATAAAATCGCTAGTAAATTGTTTAGAGTACTTCTCGCACAAAGTTATTTGCTCGTGAGTGTGTACTCAGCAGTGAGAAATGTGAATTTATTCATAAAAGCACTAGCTGTTTGTTATATATTTTGCAACTGGTTTCGAAATGGGTTTAAGTGCTTTGCAAACAAAATCTGCCCACTTTGCCAAGGTCTCTTCAAAAACTGGCGGTGATAATAAAATGAGATGCCTTGGGGGGGGTTTCGAGAGTTTCTTGGGCTGTTTTTGAGGAACGAACCGCATTTTTCACAAATTTTCGGAGTTTTTCTTATTTTCTTATTCGAGATTTTTCGGGTATCTTTTGGGAATATTCTCAAATTTTTTAAAACAATTTTCGGGACTCTTCGTGTTTTATTTTTTCTGTGACTGTTTGAGAGTAAGCTTTCAGAATTTTTGTTATTTTTTATTTTATTTTTTTCGGTTTTCCCTTGGATTTTCTATCTTTTTTAAGAAATTTTCGGGACTCTTCGTCTTTTGTTTTGCTCTGTGACTGTTTACGCATTTCTTGGACTTTTTTCAGGAATATTAGGCATTTTTTCGTAAGCTTTCAGAATTTTTTAAAATTTATTTTTCGGGACTTTTCGTGTTTTATTTTGCTCTCTGTGACTGTTTTGTAGTATCTTGGATTTTTTTCAGGAATATTCAGCATTTTTTCGTAAGCTTTCAGAATTTTTCTTATTTTATTATTCGAGATTTTTTGGTATCTTTTGGGAATCCTCTAACTTTTTAAAGCAATTTTCGGGACTTTTAGTGTTATTTTGCTCTGTGACTGTTTAAGTGTCTTGGGGTTTTTTTTTCAGGAATATTCCGCATTTTTTCGTAAGCTTTCGGAATTGCTCTTATTTTATTTTTCCGGATTTCTTTGAATTGGCTAACTCTTTTTTAAGAAATTTTCGGGACTTTTCGTGTTTTAGCGAGCAAAATGTGATTGTTTAGGAGTTTCTTGGGATTTTTTCAGGAATATTCGGCATTTTTTCGTAAGCTTTCGGAAATTTTCTTATTTTATTTTTCCAGGTTATGCGGGGTCTTCTAGGATTTTTTTTAACTTTTTTTGGAAATTTTTAGGACTTTTACGTGTTTTATTTTGATCTGTGGCTGTTTAAGTGCTTCTTGGAATTTCAACAGGAATACTCGGAATTTTTCGTAAGCTTTCAGAATTGTTCTTATTTTATTTTTCCAGATTTTTTGCCAACTTTTAGGATTTGCTCAGAATTTTTTATATTTTTTTTTTGGTAATTTTCGGATCTCTTCGACTTTTACTTTTCGGTATCTCTCGAAAAGTTTTTTTGATTACAGTTCCAAAAGTGCATTAAAATCGTAATTTGAATAACCAAAATATAAAAATCTAACATTTAAATACTTTTCTGCTTAACAATTTAATAGGAAAGCTTTTATTTTTATTATTTTTCGTTTTTTTTTCGAAACTTTATACAATTTTCTTGTTTTTTTTCTGGAATTATATGCATTTGTTCGTAAGTTCTCGGAATTGCCCGTATTCGATATCTCCAGATTTTTTGTTATCATTTGGGAATTTTTTGAGGACCTTGGTGATTTATTTTCATTAGTTTTCGGTATTCTTCTTGTTTTATTTTTCGTGAATTCTCTGCATAGTTTTCGGAATTTTGTGAATTTTTTCGGTATCTTTCAGGTCTAAAAATGCATTTAAATCACAACTTGGCTTTTTATGAGTAGCCGGAAAATAAAAAACAAAAATTATTATTAAATAATTTTCTGCTCGAAAATTTGTCAGGAAAGCTTTACTTTTTTTTTGCATTTTCGGATGTTTTTGGGAGCCTATTCAGATTTTCGTGTAATTTTATCCCGGACGGATTGGGCTTTCGCAATTTTTCGGGATTGTAATTAATTTACTTATCGGATCTCCTCGGTACTTTCCAAAATTTTTGGGAGTTTTCGGGATTCATCGTGTGGCATTTTGCGGCACTTTCCCGGATTTTTAGGTATTCTTCATTTTAATTTTCATTATTTTTTCGCGAATTTTGGGACTTTTCAGGTCCAAAAATATTGATTTTTCGCGATCGTTTGTAATTTTTTCGGGACTTTCCAAAGCTTTCTTGGGAGGTTTCGGGATCTATCGCGTTGTATTTTTCGGGATTTCTCGGGAACTTATTTAGCCATGCTTTGCATTTTATTTTCGGATTTTTCGGGTCCTTTCGGAAGTTTGGTGAATTTTCAAGTAAAAAAAAATTTAATCATAAGTTTGCGTTTTATGAATTCCGAAAAATTAATGTCATGCAATTATACTATCCCGATCCTTTACAGAAATCGCCAGTTTTCGAAATATTGGTTCCATAAAGTTTTGTAAAGTACGGTGTATTTATTCAGAGTCAAATACCATTATAAGGAAAATCATTTAAGAGTCATTTTTTAAAACTATCCTTTTCAGGACTAGTACTGTCCCTCAAAATTGTATTATCTTCATGATAATCTACCATTAAACTAACCATCTACAAATTATCGTCTTACTTGTATTAGAATGTGACTGCCTTGTTAGGAATTTGTTGAAATTCTTCCTTTGCATTTTTGTTGTTGTAGAGGTATTGTCATGCGCTTAGAGTAGATAGAATGCGAACGTGGAGTTATGGTCATTTCTCTTAAAGGCACTTCATAATACCGACGATGATGAACATGATTACATACATATATATATATATACCCACTGGGAAAATAGGTAAGCACCTTGCGAGGTAAGCCATGTTTTCTTTCGGTTTTTAGTACCAAAATTGTCATCATGGCCAATGTCATCTACTAGTAAAGGGCAAAATGAACACCTCCGAAAACACATTACGTTGTCAGTTGCAAAATAACGTGCAGCCGAAGTTATTTCCAAGCACCGAACTACTCCGAGCGACTGCTCTGCATTACACGTAACTTACTTTGTAAAGCGGCTCAGAAGTATATCTGATACCAAATGTACATTCTAAATTCCTACTTACATAAGGCGGCCATGCCTTTGTAAAAGTAAGGGACGTTCGGCAGGGAAATGGTAATGACTGCCAGGTGAAGAGTAAGTTGCTAATAAGGTATTATTACGTGCTCCTAATTCCCACTGGGTATATATAAATAGATATGTATACATTAGATCGTACCACCTTACAAGCAAACAAAGTATTTCGGCAGGGCAATTCGATTTTTTTTTTCGCCAGACCTCGGCGTCGCCTTTTGACAATTTTCGTTGATATCTACATACTGCTATAGAAATTTTTTTTTTAATAGTTATACAGGAATAATCGAAATACCTCAATTTCATGACATTAGGGTGGTACGTTAGGGTGATAAGAACCGACATCTGCGTAAGTACTAGAACGCACAGTGGGAGAAATAACGAAAAAAGTTGGCCAATATTCAAAAAATCAAAGTTGTCCGACTATTGCAAAACATGAAGGGTATTCACGATCCATTGCATACTGTCTAGCATGGTGCATAGATAGTATAAATAGCATGATTGGCTAATTTTGTTGTTGTCTGAACACTATCTAAATATGCACCTATGGTAATTTGTCATAAGGAAGGTCCATTGCATAGTGGATGAAAAATATAAGTCACACCTTTTTTGTATCTCATTCACTAGAGTAGTTTGAGCTTGCTATTCTCACTAAAGTTTGTGCATTGACTCTAAAATTCTGCTTCGGAAATTTTATTTTAAAGTAGTGGTTAAAGCACTTAATTATTTTTTTGCGAGATAGAGAGCGTTTCTGACGGTATCTCAAATAATCTAAGTCATTAAATTTAAATTTTCGACACAAGTAATTATATCTAAAAATGTATTGTAAAAACTGTCTAAAAAAAATATATATGTATAAGCATAGTTTTTATTTGATTATTGAAAAATAGCAAAAAAATGTACTTCAGGTATTCAAAAAGGGAGTTTACAGATTCATCCGAGTTCTGTTGTAATTCACGACTAAATAGCGCGATAAAATAATAACAGTGCTCATTGTGTTGTGTGGAAAACGTACACATGGCAACAATCATTTTGGTGCGGCAATTGTTAAAGCTGTTTGGGACAGACTTTCTTGTGCTGATTACAAATCCGTAAGTATAAAGTTTCGATCAGGTCAGGATTTTGAGAAAAACGAGGTCAAAATGTCAAAAAATACTGAGATTTTTGCAATATTTTAGGAGCTCTAGAAAAGAAAGAAAACGTGATAAAACCTCTCACTTAGGCTTAAATAAAATCTAGAACTCTCGGCTACTGTCGCTGAAAATACCCTGCCTGCACCTTAAACTGATGGTCACTTATAGTCATTTATTGAACAACAAAAAAATATTGGAAACAAACATTTTTGTTAGTCAGTTTTTTCTGTTCAATAAATGACTATAAGTGACCTTTGGGTCAAGATGCGTGGATGGTATTTTCAGGGACAGTATTCGAGAGTTCTATGTTTAATTTGAGAGTAAGTTATACTAATATTCACTAAAGAAGCTTGTGTTTCAAATTTGAAGCCTAGGTTAATTTTTGCCATATATGGCCAGCTTTTTCGTGATTTCTCCCACTGTGGAATGAGGTACTTGAAGTCGATGAACTTTGGAAAAAACAAGAAAACAAATACTTTAAAACCCGACTATAACGAACGAACGAATTTGTTTTTTCTGGTACGGTCTAATGTACATGTATCCATACATGCATACATACATACATAAGTGCATAGTTATGCGAAATACATATATATATATATATGTATATATAAATGTATGTATGTTCTTAAATATTT